GAAGTGAATGGTCTGATTCTTCTCAACACCTTGCCGGAATCATGGGAGAGTTTTAGATCAACAACAATCAACTCATCTCCTGGTGGTCAAGTCACACTGGAAATTGCCAAAAACAGGATCTTTGAAAAGGAAAAAAGGATGCGGGCACTTGGAGTCTTCTCGCAACCAGATACTCAAGCTCTTGTCACGGAGAATAGAGGCAGGAGTAAAACCAGAGAACCTAGAGGACGAGGAGGCAGATCCAGATCAAAGTCCAAAAGTGGAGTAAAATGTTATCATTGTGGCCGGTTAGGCCACATGAGAAGGAATTGCTACTTGTTGAAAGGAAAAGACAAGAAAAAGGTTGAAGATAGCAATACAACCGCTGTAGCATCTACCAGTGGCGGTGACGTGACTCTACTATGTGATTGTGGGGAGTGCTACCATGTAGAAAACTCGGATGCCGAGTGGATAATTGATTCTGGTGCCTCTTATCATTGTGTTCCCAAAAGGGAATATTTTTCAACATACAAAGCAAGAGACTTTGGCACCATAAAAATGGGAAACAAGAGTGTTTCTCATATTATGGGAATTGGTGATATCTGTGTCCAGACAAATGTTGGGTGCACATTGACACTAAAAATTGTGCGACATGTTCCTGATATGCGTATGAACCTATTGTCTGCAAAAGCACTGGATGAAGAAGGATACGCACACTACTTCAGGAATGGCAACTAGAAACTCACCAAAGGATCAATGGTGGTGGCAAAAGGGAGAGCATGTTGCTCATTATACAAGACACACATGAAAATGTGTGGAGGTCAACTTAACACAGTTGAAGATGAGGCTTCTCCAAATTTATGGCATAATAGATTAGCTCACATGAGTGAGAAAGGATTGCAACTTTTGGCTAAGCAGTCCCTTATTCCCATGGCCAAAGGTGAATATGTGAATCCTTGTGATGTTTGCCTATTTGGAAAGCAACACCAAGTTTCTTTTCAGAAGAATTTGACTAGGAAGGAGAACAAGCTAGACTTGGTCTACTCTGACGTTTGTGGTCCCCTGGAGGTAGAGTCGTTTGGTGGTAATAAATATTTTGTTACCTTTATTGATGATGCAACTTGGAAGACTTGGGTATACTTGTTGTAGAATAAAAGCCAAGTTTTCAAGTATTTCCAGCATTACCATGCTATGGTGGAAAGGGAGACAGGGTTGAAGTTGAAATCTCTCCGTACAGATAATGGAGGGGAGTACACCTCCAAAGAATTCAGAGACTACTGTTCCAAGCATGGCATGAGGCATGAGAAGACAGTTCCTAGCACACCACAACACAACGGTGTTGCAGAACGGATGAACCGTACCATTGTGGAGAAAGTTCGATGCATGCTAAAAATGGCAACTCTACCTAAGCCATTCTGCGGTGAGGCAGTCAACACAGCAGTGTATCTGATCAACCGGTCACCTTCAGTTCCTTTGAATTTTCAAATCCCGGAGAAAGCTTGGACGGAAAAGGACGTTGGATACTCTCACTTGAGAGTGTTCGGGTGCAAAGCATTTATGCACGTGCCAAAGGAACATAGATCAAAGCTGGATGATAAAGCCATTCCATGCATTTTTGTTGGATATGGTGATGAGGAGTTTGGCTACAAACTATGGGACCTAGAAAAGAAGAAAACTGTCAGAAGTAGAGATGTCGTGTTTCATGAACACGAGAAAATTAATGATTTGAAGAAGGACAAAGCTACAGGAAGCTCTGGAGAGGGTGTAGAAGATTTAACACCGGCAAAAACTCCTTCAAGAAAAATTACAGATGAAGAAGAGGTGCAAGCACCAAAAGATGAGACAGAGGAGCCAACAATTGAAGAAGATGAAGCAAGTATAGATGGGGGAAATGATGAGCAGGGGGAGCAACCCCTGCCACAGGAGGAAGAACCTCAGTTGAGAAGGTCCAC